GGCTCGAATTCGATTTGATTCCTTTATTGAGTTACTAAAGCTCGAACTCGAACTCGATCAAACTGAGTTTGAATCGAATGTAAATGAGAGATTTCAGACTGGTTTGTGACCTTTCACTTACACTAAAAAGAAAAAAAAAAACATTAAAACATATACATATATGCATGTGTGTGTCTATGTGTATATGTACATATTTATATATTAGAATCCCTTATCAACAACAGAGCTTATTCAGTGCTTTTTCCTCTTAGCATCATTGCTATTAAATATTAATGCTTGAATTTTTTTTTTTTTTGGTGAATGCTTGAATTGACTCTAGTTTAAAGGGGGAGTGACGTGATGAGGTTGGCGTTCAGCGTAGACTATTCCTGGCTAAATCTACTTGTGTATATCTAAGAGGGGGAAAAATTCAATCTTGAATATGCACTAGACTGGTAGTGTTGGTGCGGATTTGTGGCGCATTATAATAAATAACTAGAGCTTAACAAATGAAAAATCTTGAGGATGGGGTCTACATTTCTATGATCTGTGGCAGTACCTAATGCGGCGTCATGTGTAGGTCCGCGGGCGGAAGCTTCAAGATCTGAAAGCTCATTATCAGTTTGATAAGACGTTGGAGAAGGAGGATAACTTTCTGTTTCTGGAGCATTAGAGCGGCATTTGAAGTTGTGAAGCAGATGGAGAGGTGAAGAACCTTGATCTGGGGTGGTGAAATTGGCATTACTAGTAGAAGTATCTGTTGCTGCCCCTGCTTTGCGCAGCTTCTTCCTGTTCTTAGCCGCCTGATGCCATTTCTTCAGAGCCTTGGCAGTTTGCTCCTCAAAAATTGCTTTCTTCATGTGAGATCCCATCTGCAAATGTTTACAAAACGAGATAGGCGGCCGGCTTGTAATTATTTAGTTAAGTTGGCTCCTTAATAATATTGGCGACCTTGCTATTTGACTAATTTGAATCAAAAGAGAAGAGGAGCAGCAGTATTCTGGAGGTGTGTGTGTGTGTGTGTGTGTACCTGCGTTACCAGGGCATACAGAGGGAATGTAATGTAGCTGCAGAGGGCTTGAAGGGCAAGCCCGAGGAATACTCGAAGCAATATCATCACCAAATTCTCATGCATGCATGAACCGATCCCGAACTCGTACTGCATCCCAAGATACGTACATATAATGAGAAAAGTCAGCTTCCAGTGTAAGAAGAACAATTGATGATTTGTATATCTCACATAATTAACCACATTGTAGAGTATAAACATTTACTGGTCTTAGTTTTTGTTGTGCCTATCCAAACAAAGCAATTTCTTACTCGAAATAGTTAGTGTTGATCAATTGCATTATCCAAAATTTTAAGATTGTAAAAAAAAAAAATGCTCTTAGAACAAAAGGGAAATATATATATATATATATAAAGAATCCATATTCATTTGGAGAATCTTGATATGAATATCACAAGACAAATCATAATTACGTGATTTTTCTTTATCAATATTAAGCAAAAATAATAATAATAATAAAAGAATCCAACTATTTGTATTAGTTGAATTTCAATTGACAACTAAATAGCTAATTTAAGATAATTGAACTGTGTGAATCATTTGCATTAATTCTTTATTAACCTCTTAATTAGAGAAAATGTAAATAATATATCCAAATTCAATAATGCACCTCACATTATTCAATTCAAATTCACGAAAAAAATTTAAAAAGTTCAAATGGAAGGATATATTTTATTCTCAAATAATGAATTCATTCATTCTAATTATACTTACCCATGACCACAAGAAGTATGCCATTTGGTATGCATTCTGCAAAGCCAAGAAAGATACTATATCAGAGTTGTTACTTGAATCAAAACAAGGCAAGTCGTGAATTATTTATTGATCATCAAATAAGTATCAAATAAGTATGATGTTCTATCACAGATGATCTATCTTTATTCATTCAGTATCACGTGCATACGTATTTATCAGACGTATTTTCTAAACTCATCCTTTCCTTTGGGCGGGAATTCACCTCGAACAAGGTAAAGTGTATTAAGAAGAGGATCCAGTGGGGCGACTGAACCAGAAAAATCATTGGTTGGCTCCACCAGGAGCTCCTCTAACAACTGTAGTCTTGTCCTGGATTTGCTGTGCCATCTCCATTATAACCAGTTCAAGTTTAGTCCCCACCAAAACGAGGATCTGCATTAATTAATTCCATACATGAACATACATATGTAATATGATGAGCGAGCGAGGAAGAAGGCTAGGCATTCCTGCTGCTGTTTAAACAACAAAACAAAACTAGTTATTTACGAGAAGCGGGATCAAGGATATCCAGGATATTGTATGCCAACCTGAAATACATATGCAATATCAGAGGAACAATATTATTATTAATATCGGCAAAAATTAAAATCATATATATATATATATATATATATATATATATATATATCTATATGTGTCAGAGACTTACGGGAAAAGTTTAAAAGCAGAAAGAAGAGGACAAAGGACCACAATGGGATACTGCACATTGAAGTCAAAAGCATGTATAATAGTTTAGTTTAGTCTAAATTCTTTTTTGTTTTGGTTTTTTTTTTTTTTTTTAAAACAATAATGAAATGAAACAACAAACCTTATTCCCAAGACCCTCTTATAGTCATCTTCCATGGATCTTTTGATGTACCTGTGGAAATCAAATTTGGCATTTGGAGCAAAATGCGCCTGAAATTTGGACCATTATTGTCAAAATGAGTTCATCATGCCATGTTAAAACTGCGAAATCTGGTCGATCAGCTTAGCGGGGATTCACCACACTTACGTTGATGAATCCGTTGCGGATCGTCAGATAATCCACCTTGGATATCGAACCAAAAAATTGCCTCAAGAATGCCACCTGTTTTTATTTTATTTTATTTTATTTATTCAAAAACAAAAATCATCAACTAAAGGAGAAGTTTCTGTCTATAATCTTTGTTAGTCCACTTTTGCTTTGCCTTCAGCAAACAGATTCTCAGATTATTGGAGCCGGTTATATTTTACTTCTAGTTCTAGTAGATGATGAACTCTACAACTTCAAACCACCCCCCAAGACGCATAGAAACACTCACACGACATATTATATTAGCGTCAAGTGATGCCTGACCGTTTCCCCCACCCCCACAGAGACTCAGACTCAGATTCCGTGGCGTTGGCAGGTAATAAAGTGGAGCGGTGGGGAAACTACAAAAATATTTATTTATTTCCCTATATAATAAAGAAAAGACAAAAAAATCTCTTACGATCCATCTCACTCCCGCTGCTCTGGCCTTTCCACCGTGACGCCTCACAAAAGTTGTTTGATGGGCCAGCCTGAATCTAGCCGGATCTGCAGTTTCAAATGACCAGCCTCTTTGGAACGTAATTCGACATGGGTTTGTGCCCCAAAAAGCTCAAACTTATTGGGCTTTAACAACACTTTGAGAAGATGCCCGCCCGATTAAAGAATTAAAGAACTCAAAAGGGACAGAAAAACAGGAGGGCATTAGAAAAGTGATAGGGCAGGAGGATTACCACTTGAGAACTGATATTCCAAGGAAGCGGTTTCCAATTCCCACGCCTTCCATTTTTTCATCTGTTTTTTCCAGCAATTTAAGAAAGAAGTGCTTAGATAATTTTTCTCAGCCCATTAATAATTTTTATTTTTTCAGTTAAGCTGATCCGGGCAATTAATCCAGTAAATAAGTGATGAATGACAGAAGAAGACAGTAGTGAAGTTGAGGAGACAGCTGAGTTACCTTGGCGTGACCGAGGGCCATGAGGATGACACTGTAAAGGACATGAAGAACTGCAAGAACGAATATGAAGATGTGCAGCTGATGCACTCCCTTGTATGATATCAACGATACCTTCTCCTGCAGCAGCAGCAATTTTGCAATCAGATCACACTAGCACTAATGAATGAGAGTATTTAATCGTTATGTAATGTATGTGTATGTATGCAGCAAATTAAGATTAAAACTCGTTGAACAATCAACATCAGAGTGGATATGCTCACTTTAGCAGCGCAGTAATCTTTGTCATCCCCATCAGCAGCCAGAGCTCGACGCCATACCATTTCTCCCGCGTAGGAAAGTAGCAGTAGTTTCCTACGGCTGTCATCTTCAATATTTCTGCTTCCTTTTTCCTCCTCCTTCTCGTACGAATCTTCAGGGCAGGGCAGCCACTTATCTCCGAGTTTGGCTGGAACACATATCTTTGCAATATAGGTGGCGCTCACGGTAAGCAGCAGGGAAATGAACCCAGTATCATCAGCTCTGCCAGCCAATTCACATTCATCAGCATACTAAGGTAAAATCCTACAACTCTGCCAACTCCTATAAGTAACAATAATATTGGGCTGGAGTGCTAGCCAGTCAATATGATGTATAATTTAAAGATCACAAATGATACATGTTCATGTTCAACCTGATTTAATTTTTTCCAGAGCTTCGATCATGCTTTGTTTTGGCGTTTCTGAAACCACTGGGTGCCATCCACAAGAATTAATTAATACGAAAAGAAAAGATCAAGAAAATCCAGCTTGCTACACATGAGTCTGAATTAGGTTGGTTCTTGAAAGAACTGGATCAGCAGACTGAGTAGACCCAGCCTGCCTGCCAGTATCAGAAACACAGCGGACTCACCTTTCCAAGGGAATGAATCCAAGTTCCATGAGGAAAGAAATGATCACGAACACAGCGCACACAATAGCAACAGCCCACGTAGGAGTCTCCTCTAACGATCTTTCTCCAGCCCCACCGCCGCCGGCAGCCATGACGACTACTACTAATTTTCTACTTTCCGCTGCTATACCTATACGGGCTAGAAAACCAATTAACAGACAGGTACTACTACTTTTTATCTGTAAATCGAAGGAGACCAAGACCAAGAGTTGTCACTTCATCTATTAAACTTGGGACTACCAATGCTTGGTCATATGCAGAATTGTTTCCCGTCGTAGAATTTGATTGGGTTGTTCGCATGAATAACGTACGAAGCAGCAATGTCGATCCATGCAAAAATTACCAGCGAGATGGGATCATCCCGCACAAATATACTCCCATTGCGCAATGCAGCCGGCAGGGCAACAACAATTGTGTACATATATATATATATATATATATATATATATATATATATATATCATGTGTGCCAAATTTTAGAATTAATGGTCGGATAGACCGATGTCGTGAGACGAGATGCACATTTCCGACACATCAATTATATCACACAAGTATGTAGAAAAATGGCAGGAAACAAAAGACAGTAGTCTAGTCTAAGTAAAATTTAATTTCATACCAGAACACATTCCCTGATACTAATATCAGCAGGAACAAATTATCTAACCTTTGTAGCTACTTATTATTAGGAGTAAAAAAGGGATAGGCCACTCGAGGGCTCTTTTTAAGGATAAAATATATAGTTTTAATCTATAATGTTTAGTACATGCGCTGTTTTGATTTTTAAAGTTTTGGTAAGACCAGATTTGGTCCTCAATGTTTAGTACATATATAGTTGTAGTTTTTAAAGTTTTGACAAAAGTAAATCTGGTCCTAAATGTACCCCAATTGAAAATATATTTGGGTCATTTGAACAACTTTTATCGATTATTGACAAAATTTAGCTACGTGTAATCATGTGTTCATTAAATTGAATTTTAAAAAAAAAAAGCAAAATAGTGGCTAATTTTAAACAACAAGATGAAGGACTTATAAGTCACATGCTAACGAATTAAACTAGCTAAGAAAAGAAATTTATTAAATTGTAAAATTAAAACATGTCAGAGCATCAAATTTTCATCGATCCGAAACTTATTTTCACTGTCATTCTCCACACCCCTAAGCAAAAAACCCTCTAGTCTCTACCACTCAATTTTAACTTATATTTAACAAATTCATTTTTTCTTGGTTAATTAGTTACTTATGTGCGATCGTTATTCTTATTATTCAAAGTTAGCTATTGTGTTGCTGCTTTTTTTAAAAAAAAAAATTAATTTAACGAACATGTGATTGCATGTGAATGATTTGGTCAATAATCGAGAAAATCTGTCAATTGTCTTAAATCTACTTCGGATTGAAAACATTGGGGACCATAATTGTTTTTACTAAAACCATAGGGACTAAAATCACATAAGGTGCCAAATATTGTCAAAACATTAGGGACAAAGACATTATGGGGTCCTTTAAAAATTTTGTAAATTTTAAAAAAGCATCGATGTTCCGCATTTCCACTTGGGTACCAAAGACACGGTACATTTGTTTTTCAGTTTTTTTTTTTTTTTTTTTTTGCTTTTTGTTTTGTGTTTTGCTTATGGGGGTGGGATGGGTTGGTTGGAGGATGAACTGTGTCCTTTTAATTAGTCCGTTCGTTGTTAGCTATGTTTGCCGTCATCGATCTCATCGAAGCCAAAAAAACGTAAAGTGATCCTCTTTCTCCGCTCTCCAGTCTCCGGCATCGCCGCCCCTTCGGTTTCACAAGTGCGCGCACACACACTCTGTTGTAAGCTATCTGCAGCCGCCATGGCAACTCTTTCAAGTTCCTTGGTATTATCTAAGAACCCATCATTCCATTCCTCACCCTCATCATCAGGTATTTCTCCCAATTCTCATTTCTTGATACGGATGTAAGCTCGATGATCTAAAATGTACTTTCTCTGGGTCAAGGTTTATGGAGCTTTGTTGTGAACAGAAATCTAAAGAAATGAAAAAATAATAATAATAAAAAGCGAGCATTTTTTTTTTCCTCTCATGAGTTTGGTAGGTCCCAACAAACTTGTCTTTGAACCGCCGTTATGGACATGATTTGAGGTATTCTATCTTTGTTATGTCAATGCAAGTGACTCTATGATTGATGCGGCTTCAGTCAAGAGATTGTGATTCTCAACTCGGGTGAAAAAAAATGAGGAGTAGAAATTGGAGGGAAAATTAAAGCAGTCAGAACAGAAAAAACACATACTGACTATTCACAAATGTAGGTACTTATTATGCTCAACAACAGTTCAAGTTTTATGCTCACAAATTTGTTTCCTCGATTCAAAGCAGGAAAATCTTGTGCATTGCTATCTTACCTGCTCTGTTTTGTTAGTAATCAAGTGTTCTCTCAGAACTATGTCCTTCAAAATGGGTTTCTCAAAAGGTCTGTGAAGATCATATTGGAGATGATTAGCCTCTTGAATGCTGAGAGCAGTTCAATCCTTCGATCCGTATGGACTTCAATCAGTATCAGTTTAGCATATCAAAGCCTAGATCCCTTTACGGACACTTAGGGTATGCAAAGCGAAAGGCTTGTTTGACAATTCAAGTGCGCTTGACCTATTATTTGGCGTTGTTGACTGTGATTTAATTCATTGGGGCTTGTATCCATGCATTAATCACGATCGGCTTGCCTAACTCTGTAGGTCAGTTTTGTGTACTAACTTGTGGCTTGAATCCCCTTGGTTTTACTCCTTGGGATTAGTGTAGCTATCCACTGGGTTGCAGTACCAGTGTAAGTTGCACCAAGATGTGAGCTAAGGCACCCACTTCTGAGATGTAGATGGAGTGACTTGAGTCTTATCATGGTATCCTCTGATCATTTTGAACAAGAACACATTTTGCGCTACTCAAGACATATTGACCATGCAAATCAGATGGATCCTACTTGCATATGAACAAAGATAAAGCAAGCTATTTGTGTTTTTGTGTGTTGAAACATTTATCTAGCATAAATCCACAAGAATATTGGAGACCTGACATCAGTGGATGTTATATTTCCTGTTTTGTTGAGCCTTGGGATCAATATGTACCCAAAAAGGTTTTATAAACAGAGAGAAACCTTCAGATAAAGTTGAAGCATATTTTAGATACTTGATTAGTCGTGATTTCTGAGGCTTACAAAATTTAATGATAAATATAAAAGTGCATAACAATTAGCTAGTATTTTGTCACTCCCTATTCTTTTCTTTCTAGTTTACTTCTTGTTTTGAGGGTGCGATTGCAATTTTCTGAATGCTTTCTAATTTTTTTAGGTTCTTCTCTGAAGACATTAGAGCAATGTATGGGAAGCACTGTTCCCACCAACTTGTCCTTTGGCTGAGGCATTCAAGGAAATCATCCATATCTAAAGGAGTGCTGACTGTTCGTGCAACCTATAGGTATAGTATCCATCAAACTTGTATGACTTATTCTTAGGTACATCAGATTACTTTGATAGAATATTTGCTTGCATGTAGGCCTTTCATCACTGACAGTTATGATACTTCAGCTTGACATTTGCATGCAATCGAGAGAAAAAGTGAATCTTTTCTATTGGTGTCTCTATGGCTCTTACCAAAATGACATAATATTTAAGGCTCATATCTTGTCTTACAGTCATCAGATTCTTGCATTTGTTTTTTGTACAAAATGGGTGTGAGAAAGTACCAAGCTTGTGCAACTTTGAGTAAGTTTAAATAGAAAGCATAGGACGAAAGTGAAGTTGACAAGTATCATTGCAGATGTAAACTTGAAATGAAAATGGGATTGAATTATGATAAAAAAAAATGAACATTGTTCTCATATTTTCCCTGCTTTTTATCATGTAGACAGTACTCCAAACTATACGGAATTATATTGGACTTGTTTCTTATCTAATGGCAGTGATGGAAGGTCAGCACTGGGAATCTCTTCCTCGGAGGCTTTATTTTGGGAGGATTAGTTATTGGGACACTTGGTTGTGTATATGCACCTCAGGTGGTAAACTTTAGCAATCCTAATTGACATTTATGAAACTCTGCTTCTATACTTTTTCTCTTTCAAATTATTAATCTGGAAAGCTGGCCATAGATCAGTCAGCCTTATGCAAAGATTTGATGTACTTGAAGACTGTTAGTGCTTAATGAGAGAGTAGGAAACTGATAGTATAAACAAAACTGTTTGCTGTCCGCAGATCAGCAGTGCACTAGCTGGAACTGACAAAAAGGACCTGATGAGAAAATTGCCAAAATTCATATATGATGAAGACAAAGCTTTGGAGGTAAGCAGTTTCTTTACAGTTATTATCCACGATGATCTTTCCTCCATGGAGACAAAAAAGGATCTTTACTTTTTCTTTCTCTTTGCGAGTGCCCTGTCAAGATAGGGGACACCTGAGTACAGGGATAGGGGTAGGTATGTCTGTAGATAGCTTTAGGATGACCAAATTTTAGCATTTTTTGCCTTGCACTGTTATTGTGCCTACTTCAGTTGATCCTACATCAGTGGCTTACCTTGATTTAATCGCATTCTAGTATGTAATTTTCTTTTCATTTTTTTTTCCTTTTCCCATAAAATGAATTAGTTCATCTTCAAAGCATCTCTAATATTCATGCATGGCTTTTGGACTATCAAGATTGATAAGATCTGCCATGGTTAAAAGGACTTGATATGACTTTATTTCTGCATGTTGCTAAGTGGGGAAGCTGAATCGGCACCTTAACTTGTAATCCAGCTTGAAATATTTCTGCATAGTTATTGAAATAGGTGCCATGGTACCTTTTTATGACTGAGTTGTGCTATGATCTGTCTCCAGAAACAGCGGAAGAAACTATCAGAGAAGATTGCACAGCTGAACTCTGCTATAGATGATGTTTCAAATCAGCTGCGATCAGAAAATACCCCAAATGGAGCAGATGTTAACTCGGATGAAGTTGAGGCACTTATATAAGATTCTATTGTCGTTCTGTTTTCTCATGAATTTTCGCTGTATGTGAAAACACAATAACTCGTATGTAGAGTCTCAAGGCCGTCGTATGAGAAAATTGCTCACTGCAATTTTGGTAAATTTGCTCTTCTTTTGAGAGCTGGATTTTGGAACAATACTGGATTTTTTGATGTTCATGGAAGACAGCTGGATAATAATGGTTGTGAATTGTGATCACTGAAGAATGATGGATTCTCTAAGCTTTTGCTTGCGTCGGTATCACAAGAATGCATATCCTACCCGGATTTATTCTGTGTAGTGATAAATTATGTAACCGACCCTGTTTGGTTGAGCAGGTGCTATATCTTAGCTCCGGGTGTTGCTTGTGGATATCACAGAGTTCCTTGCTTGCAAATTACTTGGCTTTTTGCATCTTTTCTCCTTTGGGCTAAGCATCAAATTGAATTCTCGTAAAGAAGTACTAAAGCAAATACGAATGCTAATCATTGCCCGCAACATGACAATTAAAAATCTGTCGACTGAGACTCCTGTGGGCAAATGCATCCTCCAGCAACTTGTGGAACTGAGCTACAGCTGTTGTTTGTTTTGTCCCGACTCTGGCTAACATCGGAGCTTGTTTAGAGCCTACAAATTACCTCACATTCCGACGTTTAAAATTGCGATGTAGTGCCCATTTTTTCGTATCAGACTTGGTCCAGTATACTGGGGAACTTTGCCCTGAGATTTTATTCGACTATCGCGGTGAAAGGAGGAGTTTTATTCGAATTACAAGGACCTGGACTGAGATTTTCAGAATTAAGTAGAACTCAACTTTTCTATTAGCTTTTAATAGGTTTCCATGAGCTAAGCATCCTGTCTAGGACTAAGAATTCTCTAAGGAGCAAGTCAATGAAATCCTTCCAAAAAAAAAAGAAGGAAAGAAAGGAAAAACGAATAGGACATTTAGCTGGGACTAACGAAGGTGGGGCCTTTTCGCTTTGCATGCAAACCACTTATCAGTCAATTTTACCTCATCCTCATGCAGCAGGAGACAGGAGTAGGCTTACTCGAAATAAAAATTTGTGGTAGCGGATAACAAGACATGAAGGCGTCAATTCACAAAAGATGCAGGGGCAATCAAGGAATAAGAGGGATGGGTGAACCATCTTTAGCACTGAATTTTGATGGTTCAGACCAATACAATCCACACGATCTTATCTTGTGTCAAATCTTTGTGTACCATCCTCGCCACTCAATCCCTTAATTCAATTGCAACCATAATTTCTGTTGAGATTTTGGCAACGGGAACGTACCCCACACATTTGTGCTGTATGTAACTATAAATATGGGAAGGGAGGAGTTGTAGTTTTAGTTACTTAGTTGCAGCAGCCATGGCCAGTACTCATGCAGCTCTTGCTTCTTCAAGAATCCCTGCTAACACAAGGCTCGTTTCCAAAACCTCCCACTACAACTCCTTCCCTGCTCAATACTCCTTCTCCAAGGTCAACTCCTGATCTCCACTTCTTCATATCCTTTTCTTGTGTCAGTCTTTTTTCTCAATTTATTTTGTCCTAGTGTCCATTTTCCTTTTCCAGGATACGTAATGAATCAACTTATGTGGCTTTGCAGAGACTTGAAGTAGATGAATACTCTGGTCTTAGATCCAGCGGATGTGTGACCTTTGCTACCAATTCAAGGGAAACTTCTTTCTTTGATGCAGCGGCCGTCCAACTTACCCCAAAGAGACAAGTATGTATTGAAATTACTCCAGTAGAGAATTGATTATTGATTCATGTTTGCTGCATCATCAGTTAGTTAATCCTGACATTTTCCTCGCACTCTCAACTCTTTAGCAGAGGAACTTGATCAGTCAAATTTCAATGTAATAGTTGGTACCCTTTCCATCATGAGACAAGCAGATTGACTTTTGCTTGCTCTTGATAATGCAAAAAATTGGCCCCAGTTTGCTTGGCAATCATGATAAACAAACCAATTATAAGCTATTTTCACTTTGAGGAACTATCTAGCAAGTTAAGGGAACTGCCTCTTCTTCTTCTTTTATTCCTTGGAGAATCTGATCATAATCTCTTATTCAGAAATTTGAAAAATTTAGGTTCTAATTACTTGTAAACCTTGTAGGAGATCACTGATTATTATATCACGACAAGGTCATTGGAATATGACTGAAAAACAAGATTCGCGTAATAGTACTACTGATTTTTTGGACTCAGCACATGCCAGACTTCATTTTTTAAATGGACAATCAGCAAGACACGTAGATACATGAAATGAATGTCTGGTGAATCTAACGTTTTCTTTTAGGATTACCATTTTACTTTCTTCAAGAATTGATAATGCACGTACTTGAAAGATTCACCCATATACACTCAAAATCAAACTACAGGTTTTGGAGAATACTTATGATGGTGGCAGATGATCATTTGATACTATCACTGCATACCTTTTCAACCTTGAACTCTTAACATGTCTCTGTCATTAATTTGGGATTTTATGCATAAAAGAATGCAGGATCAACCCCAGTTAAGGGAGAAACTGTTGCCAAATTGAAGGTAGCAATAAATGGTTTTGGACGCATTGGCAGAAACTTCCTTCGGTGCTGGCATGGGCGAAAGAACTCACCACTTGATGTCATTGTTGTCAATGACAGTGCAGGTGTTAAGAATGTAAGTCTTGGTGCTAAACATTCCTAGAGAGATTCACAGGGCCATTTGTCGGGTCGCAGATTGATACTGTACTAAGTACACATTAAACACTAACTTGTATTCCGAATATACAGGCATCTCACTTGCTAAAGTATGATTCGATGCTTGGAACCTTCAAGGCAGATGTTAAAGTTGTGGACACTGAGACCATTAGTGTTGATGGAAAGCCCATTCAGGTCGTCTCGAGTAGGGATCCTCTCAAGCTTCCTTGGGCTGACCTTGGCATTGATATCGTTATTGAGGTATGCACTGCACTATGCCATTTCCTAAGCTTAATTTCTTCTTAATTTCTGCTAGATCTCATCAAGTTAAGGTCTGTGATATTGGGCTACCAATAGCAATAAAAGTTTTCTGCCATGAGAATTGTGAGGCAGTTAGAGACTTAGAGTTGGAAGGAGTCCAACAGATTGAACGGTGCTTACTGAAGTTTTAAAGTTTGGGAGTAAGTTCAAATCCTACTTTAGGCTTAGCTCTCCTTCCGAGAAGAAAAGGAATATGTTAATTGGGGTAGGTTATGACCGTAATACATTGACATATAGATTGATGCTGATTAAAGTAACATTACCCTATTGGTTTTCTTGTTTCGCTTCTTGCTTATAGGAACCCAGGCACCTAAGGCATATGGAGTATGCTGAATCTAGAAATTTAAGAAATGCCTTTGATCGTTAATGAGCTATAATGGAGTACTCAAGGCTGAAGAATCAACTGTTTTCCTAATGGTTAAAAAGATTTTCCTAATGGTTGTGGAGTTGGTTTCTAGTAATGGAAATCGCGTTAAAGGTTGCCTGGCACAAGTATACGAAAGCGTTCTACTAATTTAAGCTTGTTGAAATCAGGGAACAGGCGTATTTGTGGATGGCCCAGGAGCTGGGAAGCATATCCAAGCTGGTGCAAAGAAAGTCATTATCACTGCTCCAGCAAAAGGTGCTGACATCCCAACCTACGTTGTGGGAGTGAATGAGCAGGATTACTACCACGAGGTCTCTAATATCGTAAGGTAGATTACACAGAACTCTTTACATTCGTCGATTAACCATCTCCACAACATGTCGGAAAAGTATTAAAATCATGGTCTCGTATCTTTCATGTATCAATTGCCAATCCATACGTTGATAAAAAAAAAAAGAAGGAACTTTACCATTTGTCAAATTGCAGCAATGCTTCTTGTACCACAAACTGTTTGGCTCCTTTCGTGAAGGTCTTGGATGAAGAATTTGGTAAGCATCTGACGTCCTTCAAATAAATTATACTACTGCACATTTGCTTCCCTTTAGAAGTTGTCCTTATTTTCTGATCACTGACTGAGACAAAAGAAAACAAAAGTTCAACCTCTTATCACTGACTGACACTAATGAACAATTGCAGGCATTGTGAAGGGAACAATGACAACCACCCACTCCTATACTGGTGATCAGGTACTCGTATGCTAAAAAAAGACACATAATTTGCCTTCTGGACAACATGACAAGCGTACTTGCTTGCATTACTTTGTCCTATATAACTAGAGTTTGCGTGCTTCTATTGCAGAGGCTTTTAGATGCATCACACCGGGACCTGAGGCGAGCCAGAGCTGCAGCATTAAACATTGTCCCAACAAGCACGGGTGCAGCTAAGGCAGTGTCATTGGTGCTGCCGCAGCTGAAGGGTAAACTCAATGGCATTGCGCTCCGGGTTCCGACACCTAACGTGTCTGTGGTTGACCTTGTTGTAAACGTCGAGAAGAGAGGACTGACGGCTGAAGACGTGAATGCTGCATTCAGAAAGGTTGCTGATGGGCCGTTGAAAGGCATATTGGACGTGTGTGATGCTCCTCTTGTATCTGTCGACTTCAAATGTACCGATGTTTCTTCTACCATTGACTCCTCCTTGACGATGGTAATGGGAGATGACATGGTGAAGGTGGTTGCCTGGTACGACAATGAGTGGGGATACAGGTACAAAGATTTCCTCTTTTTTTTTTTAAAAAAAATGTTGATTGATATCCTTAACAAAAAAAAAGATGTCAGTTTGCATGCATGGAAACAAGCACAATTAGCAATTTTTCTGAAGAAACATTGCTCAGCATCTCCCCTGTTTGTCCAAATGCTAGTGTACTTTTTTTTGTCTGAAGAGAGAATATTTCATACTTGACACTTTGCAGCCAACGCGTTGTGGATTTGGCTCATCTGGTAGCAAGCAAGTGGCCAGGCTTGGTTATTGACGGGAGTGGAGACCCATTGGAAGACTACTGCAAGACAAACGCTGCTGATGAGGAGTGCAAAGTTTATGAAGCCTAAATTCCCCACATTCTTTTCCCTCCTTTCTTTTCTCCTTTTGGCTTACCAAATTGATGATAGAAGCCAAGGCAGGCTTTTCATTTCTAGTATGTATGATCCAGTGCTTTTCTTTTTAACCTATGATGACTGAGAAAGGGGAATAATAGATTTGTAAACAATAAAAAAGTAAATAACTGCAATTATTTTTTTTTTCGTAACCGAGATATGTCTCTAGTTTCACATGTCACTAGTACTATTTTCACTAAAATATCTGTAGTGTAGTAGTACTTAAGAGATCTTTTTTTTTTTTTTGTAACGATAATATCTGTAGAGCCTAATCTATCTTATTCT